CTCCTTTTACTCCTCCTCCTCCTCGTCCTCCTTCTCCTCCTCCTCCTCCTCTTCCTCCCCCTCCCATACGGCTTTTTTTTTCTCTCTCTCTCTCTCTCTCTCTCCTCTATTCCTTTCCTTATCGATAACTTCTCCCTGTCGCACACCGAGGCCAGTTTGTGGGTTGGGTCGGGCGTTTCGCCTGAGACTTCCTCACCACTTATGACTCTGAAATATGACCACAGCTTCACAGATGGAGGGCGGGTCGTTTTCAAAATGTGGCTCTCGCCTTGGCGCCGCACACATTCGTTTTAAACATGTCCAAGAGCTTCACGGATTGAGGGTGGGTGGCTTTCAAAATGTGGCTCTCGCCTCAACGCCGCGCACATTCATGTTAACAAATTGTAAGAGTTTCACGGGTTGCAGGCGGGTCGTTTTAAAAATGTGGCTCTCGCGTTTGCACCGCGCACATCTTTGGGGGAAACATGTGTAAGATCTTCACGGATTGAGGGCGGGTCGCTTTCAAAATGTGGATCTCGCGGTCGAGCCGCGCACATTCGTTTCAAACATTTGCAAGGACTCGACGGATTGAGGGCGGTTCCTTGTCAAAGTGTGGCTCTTGCCTTAGCGCCGCGCACATTCGTTTCAAACATTTGTAAGGGTTGCACGGGTTCCCATGGTCAACGTACCAGGAAGGTGTTTAGAAAGGAGTCAGGATTATGCGGGTGCAACAGTTATGTTCGTTCGCGGTGCCGAAGTCCCAAACATGGCCTTCTGGCACGGTTCCAGGTCGTCAGGAAGCAGAAGTCAGGTTGATCCGTGGCGTGGAATTCCCGAGAACAATGTTTTGACATGACCTTCAAATTGCTGTCTTCCAACGAAGCAGTTCCCTCAATGGAAATGAACCGTTGTACGGGCCTATGGAGAGGAAGCTGGGAGGGAGGGTTGATTCCAACATCGTTGATCACTATTGGGTTTACACTGGTCCTCCTCCTCCTCCTCCTCCTCCTCCTCCTCGTCCTCCTCCTCCTCCTCCTCGTACCTGCCTGGAGGATCCTCCTCGTCCTCCTCCTCCTCGTCGTCTTCCTCCTCCTCCTCGTACCTGCCTGGAGGATCCTCCTCGTCCTCCTCCTCCTCCTCCTCCTCCTCCTCCTCCTCCTCCTCCTCATCATCATCATCCTACTCCCCACGGCTTCTCTCCTCCTCCTCCTCCTCCTCCTCTCCTCCCACGGCTTCTCTCCTCCTCCTCCTTCTCCTCCTCCTCTCCTCCTCCTTCCTCCTCCTCCTCCTCTTCTCCGGCTTCTTCATCCTCCTCCTCGTCCTCCGTCTCCTCCTCCTCCTCCTCCTCCTCTTCCTCCTTCTCCTCCTCCTCCTCCTCGTCCTCGTCGTCCTTCCCCTCCTCCTCCTCCTCCTCCTCCTCCTCCTCCTCCTCCTCCTCCTCCTGCCCCCCCCAAACATCCACCATCTCCTCATCATCGTTCCTTTTATTCCTCCTCCTCCTCCTCTGCATTCTCCTCCTCGCCACGGCTTCTCTCCTCCTCCTGGTCCTCCCCCTCCTCTGCTCACTCTGATTTTCTGTTCTGGTTATTATCATTCTGGTGCGTTGTTTTATCATGAGTATTCGTATTAGTAGTTGTATTCGTATCCGTAGTAGTGTGCTTCGCCTTGGTATGCTTCGTCTTCTTCGTGATCGTGATTGTCGGCGTCTTACTAGTGTTGTTATTGATGTGATTCGCATTGTCAGTCGTCTCATTGTTACTGATGTTGATAGTCTGTTAGCGTGATTCGCATTCGCGTTCTTGGTCGTATCCCCACTATTGTCATCCGCGTTGCCAGTAGCATCAATAGTTTTAGTGGTATCATAATTATATGCATTGAGTATACCGAACTGTACGATTAGTATTATTATTAGTATTATTATTAGTATTATGAATCATATTTTTATTATTATTACTATTATTAAAAGTATTATTATTATCATTCGTATTACTAGTAGTAGTAGTAGTAGTAGTAGTAGTAGTAGTAGTAGTAGTAGTAGTAGTAGAAGTAGTAGTAGTAGTACTAAAGTAGTAGTAATAAAGTAGTAGTAGTAGTAGTAGTAGTAGTAGTAGTAGTAGTAGTAGTAGTAGTAGTAGTAGTAGTAGTAGTAGTAGTAGTAGTAGTAGTAGTAGTAGTAGTAGTAGTAGTAGTAGTAGTAGTAGTAGTAGTAGTAGTAGTAGTAGTAGTAGTAGTAGTAGTAGTAGTAGTAGTAGTAGTAGTAGTAGTAGTAGTAGTAGTAGTAGTAGTAGTAGTAGTAGTAGTAGTAGTAGTAGTAGTAGCAGCACTCGTAATACCACGACTGCTACTTTTAGTATGTATGTTCCTCCTCCTCCTTCTCCTCCTCTTCTTCCCCCCCACGGCCTATTTCCTCCTCATCGTCCTCCCCCTCCTCCTCCTCCTCCTCCTCCTCCTCCTCCTCCTAGTCCTCCTCCTCCTCCTCCTTCTCCTCCTCCTACTCCGCATCCTCCTCATCCGCCTCCTG